ATACCCGTAACATATAAAACAGTGAGATATGGATGTTAACTATATACGCACAGATGATACTGTCACTTTATTGGAAGTAAACGAGCTGTATATTGGGAGCTGTGTATTGGGAAGTGTGATATACTACAAAACAGTGGGGTGCCAATATACGGTATGCTGATATATTTCATAGTGGGAGAGACTATCTGTTAGAGAATGCCTGTTGTACAGCAAGCTGTAGATGAATTAAGTCATAGGATTTATTGAACTTCATAATTTTTAAAGACTTAAGATTTAGTCAATGTAAAAACAAAACAACAATATAAACACCCTGTATAGATCTTAAGATTCTTTTCAAAGTTTAGCATAATTTCTAACCGTTTGACCCATGTAATTATTAATAAAAAATGGAAGAAGATCTTTTAAGTAAAGGACTATGATATATACATGTAGTTATCTATGTCTCTGGCTTATGACACTGAATTAATAATGACATTTTCCGCGAACATCCCAAATAAACACACAATTGTTTTTTAATGTGATGTATATATATTTTTTCATCTTTGATTAAATATAAACAATATCAATGATATGTAATCAGATTTTTGTAAATAAAATCTCTGCCATACTGTCGGAATCGGCGAAGGATTACCGAAATCGGCGTATAATTTGGTTATTAATGAAGATTTAAAAAAAGGTTCTTGCATCTTTATACAATATCAATGAAATGTAAAAAAAGTAAATAAAATGGCTTTTGATTAATTTAACTTGAGATCTAATATCGGCGAGCTACTGCCAAACTACCCGAATAACAATCCTTCCGACAGTATGACAGTAACTTGCTGATCTAGTTTAATTAATAAAGCGTGATTTTGTTTATAAAAATCTTTGTACATGTCAATTCTTAAAAAGTTCATGAATAAAATTACTGGCCGATTCTGGTAATAACTCCCCGATTCCAGCAGTATGACAGCTGGAACATACGATATGTCGTATGTTCCAGATGACAGTAACTTGCCTATCATAATTAAATCTCTTGTTTAATGAATCAAATGTGTTTTTTTTATAAAAAAATCTTATTACATGTCATTAATTGTTTATATTTTATAAAAGTTTAAAAGTTCATGAATAACAAAATTACAGGCCGATTCCGGTAATCATTCCTCGATTCCGGCAGTATGACAGTAACTAGCTGATCTTAAGTATGTTGCTTAATTAATCTTAAGCGATTTTTATTTATAAAAATATTTTTAATATGTCATTAACATTGTTTATATTTTATAAAAGATGCAAGATTTTTTTTTAAAAGTTCATAAATAACAAAGTTACAGGCCGATTCCAGTAATCATTCCCCGATTCCAGCTACAGCTTGCTTAACAACACGCTTTCTCTAACAGACAGACCCTCCCACTATGAAATATATCAGCATACCGTATATTGGCACCCCACTGTTTTGTAGTATATCACACTTCCCCATACACAGCTCCCGATATACAGCTCGTTTACTTCCAATAAAGTGACAGTATCATCTGTGCGTATATAGTTAACATCCATATCTCACTGTTTTATACGTTACGGGTATATACGATTTGTTTACTATTTAAGACTAAATAATCTATGTTTCAACTATTGACTTATTCGCAATCTTTGTAATATTTTTTATGGTGCACCAATAACGCAAATGACGACAATTGATTTGATACTGCAGAATGACCATGAACTGTCAAGTAAGTACGATTTAACTGCCTGGTAAAACATTGATTTCATGTGAATATTTTATGAGGTTTGTATTGTTTAAATAAAGATTCAAATAAAAAATATTGCATGTAATTATAAATCGACTACTTTATGAAATCAAGAATTGAGTTATGTAAACATAAAGAAAGACTAAACTGACCTATTGTTATCCGTCATTTCAAACAATCCTCGGTTAGCAATGTCCTGAAAAAAAAAAAAATTTAAAGACGGTATTGCATTATTCCATAATAGATCAATGATTATGTTTGTAAATACATGCAAAAATAAATAATAATTATATTAAGTTCACATTCATAACAAAATTAGAACCGATTCCAGTAATCCTAGACGAAGTGAAGCCGATTCCGGTAATCGCTCGTCGATTCGGTAGTATGGAAGAAATCATAGATCACCTTGTTTATTATGTAATAGCAATTGCAATAAATATTATTACATATCATTTGAATTGTTTGTATTTACACTTGTGTAAGAAAATATGGCAAGATATTTTTAAAACGCTGAAATATAACAAAATAACAGACTAATTCCGGTATTTCCCTGTTAATACAGGCACTATGATAGTAATTAGTCTATCTTAGATATCCAGTTTATAGTAAAAAAGTGATCTTTATTTCTAAAAAAATCTTCCTATATCAATGATATTATTTTCATTCAATATTAAAAATAACAAAAATAACTATAATATACAGGCTGATCACGCCCATCCTTCCCCTATATCGGCAGTATGACAGTAATTCGCCGATCTTAGGTCTCTTGTTTTACTAATCAAAAGCAAATTTACTTACAAAAATGAATATCGTTGAAAATGTTTATATCTTATAAAAACATGCAAAAGAAGTATTTAAAAAGTTCACAAATAACCAAATTACAGGTCGATTCCGGTAATCCATCACCTATTCCGACAGGTTTCCCGTTTTTTGCCGATCTTCAATATTAATCTTTTTATTATTTATAACAGCAATTTTTCATAAATCTTTTGCTCCTTTTCAATAAACATTATAAAAATCTTTTAAATTGTTTGTATTTAATAAAATAAGTCAAGGTTATTTTTCAAACGTTGAAATATTGGTGGGGAAAAACAGACCGATTCCGGTAATTGTCCGATAGCCCTGGCACTGCATATAATTATGCGATATGGCAGTAATTCGCCAACCTTAGATCTCTAGCTTATTATTTAATAAGGATTGTTCATTTACAGAAATCTTTTTAGATATCTATTATATTGCTTGCATTTTTTTCTTGCCAAGTCCATAAATTACAATAATACAGGCCGATTCCGGTAATCATTCGCCTATTTCGGCTGTATGACAGTATATGTAACTCGCCGATCATGCTTTATTAACCAAAGGCGAATTGAAATTTACAAAATAAAAGAAAGAAACTTTTAAATATCTTTCATAATATTTATATTTTATAAGATGAATATTAACAATGCAACAAAAACGTTAAAAAGTACAATAGACTAAATTATACGTCGATTCCGGTAATCATTTGCCGATTCCGACAGTATGGCAGTAACTCGCCGATATTAAATATCTTGTTTAATTAATAAAAAGTGATTTTATTGACAATAATCTGATTACATATCATTGCTATTGTTTATTTATAACCAAGGGTGCAAACATTTTGTTTAAAGTATATAGATAAGCAAATTACAGGCCGATTTCGGTAATCCTTTGCCGATTCCGGCAGTTTGCCCGTTTTCGCTGATCATAAATATTTGTTTATTATTATCATTATTTACAGTGTTCCCATTCACGCACAAATGTACGTGAATCACGTATAATTTACAAAAATCACGCATGAAATTACAACTAGGTGCGTGCATGCACGTATAAAAATTGAAGTTGAACTGCCAAAACATTATCCGCAAATTCGAATCACAAATCAATATTCTACTCATAAATCTCTGAAATTGTTTAAAAGACCGTAAAAATCGATACGACCGTAATTTAATCTGAGGTCATAACTCGGGTTTCCCAGCTGTGCTATTTTTAGCTCATGGACTGGTTCATAATTATTAACGACGCTTAGCGACGCTCTATATTAAACGCAGTAACAAGTCTACATCCGGGCAATACAAATAAGCCGTCTGAAATATTAAATAATCGCTGGAAAAGTTATTAAAAAATGCAACGCAATTGAAATGAATGGTTCCATAAAAGCGATTCCAGCGAAAAATCGCCCACCTTTACTCAATCCTCTAGCGCAAATCAAGAACCAGGCCCTAGTAAAAATAGTGTTGAACCCCCAAAAAGAAACATTGCAAACGATTTCAGAACTCCTGGTTGTCCGAATTTTCATGGCTTAGATTTGACAAAGACAACGGGAAAATGTTTTGTTTAACATGCGAGATATATGAAAAAAACACTTAAAACTGTCTGTGTTTAACTGACTTGCTTGTCTAAATTATAGTTTGTACCCCCTTAATATTCTGTGTACCCCCAAAATTATGACCTAGGGGGTACATGTACCCTCAAATTTAAATTCAAGTGGGAACACTGATTTAAAAGCGATTTTTTCACAATCTCTAGGAAGATTAATGATAATATTTAGGTTTTATAAAAACATGCAAAAGGAACATTAAAAGTTGCATAAACAACGAAATAATAGGCCGATTCCGGTCACGGGCAGTTTGGCAGTAGCTCGTCGATATTAGATCTCTTGATAAATTAATCAAAAGCGATTTTATTTATAAAAATCTTTTCATAAATCATTGATATTGTTTATATTTTATAATATTGCAAGAAAAAACTTTAAAAAGTTTAATTATTACAAAGTTACAGGTCGATTCCGGTAATTCACCGCCGATTCCGGTAATTCGGCCGATTCCGGTAAGTCGTGTAACCGCATTTACGATTTTCATATAATTTTGAAAAGTTCCGTACGGCTAGACAATACAATGCGTCCTGGCTAGTCATTCGTGACTCACGTACGGCTAGAACTTTCGGCTAGACAATACAGTGCGTCCTGGCTAGTCGTACGTGACTCAGGTATGGCTAAAACTTGTGGTACGGGCGTACACATAAGGCTAGCCACTTCCTCTTCTCACAACAGACTGCAACCATTGATCTAGAAAACTTTTGACCCATTTTAAAGGTACTCATATTTGGACTTTGGCAAACCTACTCTTTTTCGCCAGTTTTAATGGAACGGCCCCGACCCCTTATCTGTGAAAAAGCCCTGAATTTTAGTTTTGACGAAAAATCAATAAAACCTTTCTAAAGATAAATCACAAATAAACACAAACTGGAGATGCTTACAATATATAGAACATTCAAGATAATAAGGGCGTTCTTAGAACAGCTAAAGCCCCCGCAAACCATTATTAATATCTTCCACACAAACGTGTTTTTAAGTTACACAGCATAAAATTTTATTCGGCTGCTACACAATGGCCGAAATACACACGTCAAACGGTGAGTCAGTTAAATGCTTCCTATATCACTAAAATCCGTCAAACCGTACGGGTATAAGGTTGTTTGCCACTAAATATTTTCCAAACACCATTGTTCAAATTGAAAACAAAAATGGCCTTTAGTGCTGGGACCAAACATATTTGATATTTAGTCACGGCAACAGGCTAGGCCAGTGCTACTTTTCATATGTCCATTCACATGTATACAACATTTGTACTGTATTACGGTCTCATTAAAGAAATATTTAGCACGTGCTACAGAGATCAAGTATGTTGACTTGATTTATTTGAAAGACCCTTCGCCAAGTAACCTAATGTATTGATGTAGCTTGTTTCTCAAGAAGTTGAACATATTGACTTCATATTTTCCTATGTGTATAAACAATTTGAGAATATGTATCAGTAATGGATATTTGACGATTTACTTCTTACATGTTTAGTCCATTCTCTCTCTCATTCTGTGAATCTTACAACCTGAGAACTCATGTAAAGCACGACCTACATGTATCTCAATCTTTTATCATAAAGATATGTTTTTTCTATGAGAATAATATACAGAACACATAAAAACATCTCGTAATACAGATATAACCAACAAAATTTCGCAAAATGCCTTCGAACATTATTATCCCCCTTGCTAATGATAAATTCTCAGCTAACAAAAGTGCTGACAATACATCATACTTTTTATTTCACTTTATCCTAGTGAAAAATGCTTGTAAACACACACTTAAGAATATAGAAAAAATATTTTATTCTCGAAAACAATGAAACCAATTCATTAAGTAAAGTAAGTAAAAAAATAAAGCTGCTAGAAAACTCAAACTGTGCATAACCTAGAAAAAGGGAAAATGAGGAAAAGAACATAAAAAAACGGGTCCTAAGTTAATTCAGTTCATGAGAGTCGGAGTTGAAGAAGATAACACGTTAGGATCACAGATACATGTAGATGTGTAACCCAGGGCAATATTTCCAAGAGAGATTTTGACCACAAACAGCCGATCATACATTTTAATATGATCAATCATCTCAAAGCAAGTTGTTATATTCGAACTTACATGCAGTACCAAGGAAATTTCGCATGAAAGATGCACCTGAGAGGAAGACAAATTATAGTATCGGTCACTAGTGGGAAGGCATTAAAAATGCAGACAGGAAGGACTAGTATTTTACGTGCAGTAGGACTCGGCCTAGTCGAATTTCGAAGTTTATGTTGTATAGTAATTTAGTCACATTTGAAACATAATTCTGAGTCCCACTTTCCTCTGTGAATTATATACTGTCTTCAACTTTAAATATCAACACTATCCAAGTCATATGAGGCCAAAAATATAATACATTAGCTATCCACTTTTTCAGAAATCTTCATTCTGGCGGGAGACTGTTTTAATTGTCCATTTTAAAAACTCCGGTATGATGGCGGGTAGTATATCTCAAATCCTTGCGCCCAGCAATTAGGTTCTGGTGTAAACACAAGAACGACTTTTAAAATCATCATATAACACACAAAAATACACAGATGCACTATAATAGAAAAAGAGAGAATCCCTAAAGAAAGTGTAAAACGGCAACATTGAAAATATTCCAGGCTCTGTTTGATTGGGATTGTTCATGGACGGTACTGGCCCTGGGTGTGCACGTTACCTTCATTTTACATGCACCCAAGTCAATATAAGTTTGATATCTTGGCTGAAAAAACACGATTTTACTTAGTCCATGGCTCATTTTACAAAATAAAAGCTTTGAAATATGAAGTTTTCAATTCAATTTTAAAATTAAATTCCGCACAAACAAATAAAAAGTGAAAAGCATAATATCTTATTAATTAATTCCACCGAAAAGTATTGACAAAAACAAAACAATAAGTTTTTGTAACTGGATGGTACATGTATCAGTACGAATAAGGTATATTAACTTAATTAAGTAGATATATTTGTTGAAAATTATGGTGGCATATTTCTGCCACCAGATAACCATATAACTAACTAGCTAATTAGTTAACTCGTCACAGTTATAGTATTTTTTTTTTTGGTTAAATCAAAGTTGTTGACACGAGTCGGGTTAAACTTATTCTCATAATCAGTTTACACGTTTTAAAAGAAAAGAATTACGAGCCCCTATACAGCAGTTACTTTCAGTTTTTCACCCCTATGTTATTTTTTTTGTAGAGAAAAAAATCTGTCATTCTATCAATTGTAATTGAGAAATGATGATACATGATAAAGTGTAATAATTTACAATATGATTAGAAGTTTGAATACTAGTAATGTTAGAGTTCTGTATATATGCACGAGTTCAGCGGCAATTTTAGAGGAAACAAGAAACATGGAATTTCCGCATAACAAAGTTTTCTAATAAAAGCTACAGCAAAGGTGTGTGTGTGTGGGTGGGGGGATTAAACCTTCAACATTTTAATATTACGGAATACCAAAGATGCTTCATTGGGTAAAATGTAATTCAAAGGTCAAGACATTATTTGAAAAGCTCAAAATTGTGATCCTAAATGTTGTTTTGTCCAAGTATAAACCAAATCCCTCAATAAACAAGTCAAAATTACATAATCCCCTTTAATCACTCTTTAAAGGAAATTCATTTAGGACAAAAAAATTAAAACATACAATGTGATTTTCTTACATATATCAACTTGGGCGCTTAAAACAGAAAGATATTCAAAAGATTATTAAGAAATATACTCAGAAATAAATTGTAAATCGCATTTTTATGCAAAGCTTTGCAACGTTTATCAATTTTTTACAATTAGAATAATTATTCTGGAAAATGGAGTGAGCAAATGATTTGAAATGTTACACACACAAGTTATTGGTCTCAACCTACATGGAACATATGATGTGTAGATGTGTAAGATGAATAAGAAAACAAAGTACATAGTTACCTTTCCAGAATGATAGATACTTTTAAGTAATTGACTCGTTTCAAGACACGTTAGAAAACGTCTCAGAGGTATAATTAGTTGTTTAAACTTCCAAAATGGATTTCTTTTTTTATCTCTAGTAGCTATCAGGTCGAAGAATTCTAATGAATTTTTCGTAAATTGGTATTCCTTAGAGCATACATGTGGTATTTAAATACTAATAGAAGAGAAGAGGCACAAACGACACTACGATAGAAAGCTGTCCTCTCCTAGGTATCCTAGGTGTCTTTAGGGCATACCATTTGAACACGATAAAATAACTTTGCAGCAAATACTTTTACAATAGATTTCGTTGTGAATAAATAATAAATAATTGTAAGTTGTCACAGAGTAAAATGCATTCATTTTGAAACATTCCTCATATGATCTAAAATATCTGTTATTTCATTGGTCTAAGCAGTAAACGACGTAACAAATTATGAATCATTTATTCATTGGGTGTAGTTTTACATATTCGCTGGTGCATTGGATTTTCACGATCTCTGAACAGAATTAGAATCATATTTAAAAGCCGTAAATCATTAAATGTTAACTATGCGTTCGTATAGAAGTAATTGTTTCGTTTTGTTCTTTATTTCATATTTTCTCGATCGATATATCATTTCTTCACTAAAGTTTAAAAAAGATACACCGCAATGACGAGTATTGCGCAACGTTTGCGTAGTCGTTAAATGATTGATCTTATCTAACTCAAAACACACACTTAATTGTTGTTTTCCTTATAAGATGTGTGTGCGTATGTGCGTACTTTAATCGTTTTCATATAATAAAACAATTATTTACTGGTTAGCATTTTAATATCATGTGATATCATATAATACATACATGTAGAATATAACATACTTTAGTACATATAATACAATAATACATATAATACATGAAAATATATGCAATATGACCTGTTATGATAGATGATGCATGATTAACAAAAGTCTATTAGGATGCTATTTAAAACATCATTACTTTGAAAATCATTAACATAACTGCAGAGATAGAGCGACAAGATGCTAATATTGTAAATCATTAACATAAATGCTGAGATAGAAAGATGTTAATCTAGTAAATCATTAACATAACTGCAGAGATAGAGCGACAAGATGCTAATATTGTAAATCATTAACATAAACGCTGAGATAGAAAGATGTTCATCTAGTAAATCATTGACATAAATGTTGAGATAGAGCGACAAGATGTTAATCTAGTAAATCATTTACATAAATGCTGAGATAGAGCGACAAGATGTTAATCTAGTAAATCATTAACATAAATGTTGAGATAGAGCGACAAGATGTTAATCTAGTAAATCATTAACATAAATGCTGAGATAGAGCGACAAGATGTTAATCTAGTAAATCATTAACATAAATGCTGAGATAGAGCCACAAGATGTTAATCTAGTAAATCATTAACAGCCATGCATAGCATGTGCTAAATTATTATCTTAATTAATAAGAATTTTAAAAAAGAACAAAGGATGAAATATCGCAAGCATGTCCATTTCGACATCCCGATGATCAGATACAAGTTTGGATTCCGTTCTTTTTAATGTACGGTATATTCCATATATATGACTGTGTTATCCTCCATCGGATACGTGAAAAAAAAATACGGACATTGTGGCGTCCTTTTTATCGGCAAAACTATCAAAATAGAATATATTTATTAATCATTCGAACAGATCTTTATCAAATTAACTTTGGTGCAATGGGCTCTATGTCAGTGGTGCATAGCTAACTTTTACACCACAAATCAGCTGGCAAATCAAAATGTTTGATATTTATTAATATTCTTAAAATAATACCTTATGTATACCATTCATAAATGTTACGAATTCATATGAAAATGAAAAAAAAAAAAGAAAAAAAAAACACAAAAAACTCTTCACTAAACAATATTTAGGGAACTACTGTGTAAAAAAAGGTAACTGGGGGTGTAAAACAAAAATAAGGAAACTGCTAGTGTAAAACAAAAATAAGGTAACTGCTAGTGTAAAACAAAAATAAGGAAACTGCTAGTGTAAAACAAAAATAAGGAAACTGCTAGTGTAAAACAAAAATAAGGTAACTGCTAGTGTAAAACAAAA